CCAAGAGGCCCCCGATAGGCCGTCCACGAGATCCCAAGGAACATCCAGTAAGCTTCATGCCCACACCCCAGACACGGTGGCGGGATGGGCCGAAGGACATTCGGTCAACTCCTTCCCCAAGAGAGCCCCCGTCAACACAACTGCTGGGGCACAAGTCACGAACCCGAGCCCTGCGACGCCCAGATTTGTTCACTGCGCGGCCCCCGGACGTCCCGACCCCTTTGCCCCAGAGCCAGGTGTTCGTCTCGAGCCGATCTCTGGCGGTCCCGGGGCACGGGGCCCAGAGTGGGCCTCCCAGGACCGAGAACTCCAGAACATCGGCGGTCAGCCCGGGGGGGGGAAGAGGAAGAGGAAGAGGAGGAGGAGGAGGAGGAGGAGCAGGAAAAGGGGCAGGAGAAGGAGGAGAAGCAGGAGGAAGAGGTGGAGGATGAGCAGGAGGGGGAGGAGGAGGAGGAGGAGGAGGAGGAGGAGGAGGAGGAGGAGGAGGAGGAGGAGGAGGAGGTGGAGGAGGAGGAGGAGGAGGTGGAGGTGGAGGAGGAGGAGGAGGAGGAGGAGGAGGAGGAGGAGGAGGAGGTGGAGGAGGAGAGGGGGCGGGAGTTCTCAGAAGGCTCGGAAGGCCCCCCGCCGTCCGGAGCATTCCGTCGAGGCCCTCCCCGAAGACACACGCGGAGCACCGCTCAGAGGGGCGGCGGCGGGCTCCCGAGAGGCCCCGCCGCCGTCCGAGCAGGCCTCCTCCCTCCCTTCCCCCCCCCCCCCCGCTCGCCGCGGAACGCAGACCTCCCGCCGTGCCTGCCTGGCGTCAGGTCGGGCGCGTCCCCCTGCGGGGAGATGTTTTGGACGACCGATAAAAAAAACAGTCGAAACATACCCCCAAATGGTCAAGCGATGCTGAAAAATAGCCCCCAGACAATGTTTGGACGATGTTTTGACTATGTTTGAACTCCCTTTTAAATCATAATTGAGTTGTTGACTGCTTTTTTGACTATTACTAAAACATAGTCCCCAGATTATGGTTGGATTAAGTTTGAATCTTCCCCCTGTAGAGGGACGGGCCCGACTTCATCCGGGCGGCGCGAGCACGCCCGGGAACGCGAGGACCTGGCGCGCGGTCGCCAGATCCGACCGCGGAAGAGCACATCCCCAATCTTATGTTGCTCCCATGGACCACATCCCAGAAATAATTTCAAGCACCCGGAAAAAGGTCGGAAGAGTGTCGAAACAGTGTCGAAACAGTGTCGGACGAGAGTTTCCCAGGGCCCGACACGTGAAAACCCTCGAGTTTCGGTACTTCTTTGGTGCTCGAAAGTCTTTCTGGTAATCGAAGCTAAAGTAGGTTGGAACATCATAACCCCAATCCCAAAATCGCGGATTCACCGAGGATTCGGAGATCGGCCAAGGATTTCGGGACATGATTTGCTTTCGTCGCCGTCGCCCTGGTAAAGCCCTACCCAACAATCTCGCTCCCCGAAGTCTCGAGGAGCCTGCATTTTTTGTCTTGGCCCTCGCGTTGTTGGGGTTGGGCGTCTCTTTTGACTTGGTGGGGGTCCGGGGGTCAGGGGGGGCTGCCCCAGGGGGTGGGGCCGGTGCCGCCCGGGGATCACGTGGCGGAGCGCGCCGAGTCGGCACGTGAAAAAAGTGGGGCCCGTCGCCAATCCACGCGCCGGGATCCAGGCTGGACGTTCTCTCATGAGCAGGGCGGCGGGATCTGTGCACAGATCCAGTGCTCCTGGCCAGTGGTGACTACCTACCAGACCACCCCAACCCAACCCGAAGACCCGAATTTCGGGTTGGGGGGGGCAAGGGTTCCATCTGTGTTTTTCCCAACCATCCTGTGGTGTTGGGTCGTCGTTTTGAAGAGACGGTGCCCCGCGTTCCCTCCTTCTCCTCCTCCCGCTGCCCCCTCCCTCCTGCCATCATCATCATCATCATCATCACCATCATCCTCATCATCATCATCATCATCATCATCATCATCATCATCATCATCATCATCATCATCATCATCATCATCATCATCATCATCATCATCACTCTTCCCTGCGTTTCACCCACCCAGTACAGCGTTTCGTAGCCCCATAGGAGCTCCACCGAAGGCCCCAGTACTCGCGCCCGCATGCGTCACCCACACCCAATTCGGCACACCCCTCACACGTTTCGTGGCCCATAGGGAGCTCCACCGAAGGCCCCAGTACCCGCGCCCGCATGCGTCACCCACACCCATTTCGGCACACCCCTCACACGCTTCGTGGCTCCATAGGGAGCTCCACCGAAGGCCCCAGCGCCCGCGCCCGCATGCGTCACCCACACCCATTTCGGCACACCCCTCACACGTTTCGTGGCTCCATAGGGAGCTCCACCGAAGGCCCCAGTGCCCGCGCCCGCATGCGTCACCCACACCCATTTCGGCACACCCCTCACACGTTTCGTGGCTCCATAGGGAGCTCCACCGAAGGCCCCAGTGCCCGCGCCCGCATGCGTCACCCACACCCATTTCGGCACACCCCTCACACGTTTCGTGGCTCCATAGGGAGCTCCACCGAAGGCCCCAGTGCCCGCGCCCGCATGCGTCACCCACACCCATTTCGGCACACCCCTCACACGTTTCGTGGCTCCATAGGGAGCTCCACCGAAGGCCCCAGTGCCCGCGGCCGCATGCGTCCCCCACACCCATTTCGGCACACCCCTCACACGTTTCGTGGCTCCATAGGGAGCTCCACCGAAGGCCCCAGTGCCCGCGCCCGCATGCGTCACCCACACCCATTTCGGCACACCCCTCACACGTTTCGTGGCTCCATAGGGAGCTCCACCGAAGGCCCCAGTGCCCGCGCCCGCATGCGTCACCACACCCATTTCGGCACACCCCTCACACGCTTCGTGGCTCCATAGGGAGCTCCACCGAAGGCCCCAGTGCCCGCGCCGCATGCGTCACCCACACCCATTTCGGCACACCCCTCACACGTTTCGTGGCTCCATAGGGAGCTCCACCGAAGGCCCCAGTGCCCGCGGCCGCATGCGTCACCCACACCCATTTCGGCACACCCCTCACACGTTTCGTGGCTCCATAGGGAGCTCCACCGAAGGCCCCAGTGCCCGCGCCGCATGCGTCACCCACACCCATTTCGGCACACCCCTCACACGTTTCGTGGCTCCATAGGGAGCTCCACCGAAGGCCCCAGTGCCCGCGCCCACATGCGTCACCCACACCCATTTCGGCACACCCCTCACACGTTTCGTGGCCCCATAGGGAGCTCCACCGAAGGCCCCAGTGCCCGCGCCCGCATGCGTCACCCACACCCATTTCGGCACACCCCTCACACGTTTCGTGGCCCCATAGGGAGCTCCACCGAAGGCCCCAGTGGCGGCGCTCACATGCGCATGCGTCCCGCACACCCATTTCGGCACATCCCTGACAGGTTTCGTGGCCCCATCATCCACCGGAGGCCCCAGTGGCGGCGCTCACATGCGTCACCCACACCCACCCAATTCGGCACACCCCTCACACGTTTCGTGGCCCCATAGGGAGCTCCACCGAAGGCCCCAGCGGCCGCGCTCACATGCGTCCCCGCCACCCATCCCGGCACGCCCCTCACAACAACAGGTTTCGTGGCCCCATAGGGAGCTCCACCGAAGGCCCCAGTGGCACCGCCCGCATGCGTCACCACCCGCACCCAATTCGGCACACCCCTCACACGTTTCGTGGCCCCATAGAGAGCTGCACCGAAGGCCCCAGTGGCGGCGCTCACATGCGTCCCCGCCACACATCCCAGTACACCCCTCACGCGCTTCGTGGCCCCATAGGGAGCTCCACCGAAGGCCCCAGTAGCGGCGCTTACATGCGTCTCCGCCACCCATCCCGGCCCCCCCCCCCGCAGCAGCATCATGTTTCGGGGACCCATAGGGAGCTCCACTGGAGGCCCCAGTGGCGGCCCGCACATGCGTTTCCGCCACCCATGTCGGCACGCCCCGCGCGTGTTTCATGTCCCCATAGGGAGCTTCGCCGAATGCCCCAGTGGCACCCATCTCGGCACACCCCTCACACGTTCCGTAATCCTATGGGGAGTTCCATTGGGACTTCCATTGAAGATGAAACCCGCAGCTGCGGTACTGACAACTGCATATGGTTGGGTTCTTCGCCAGGCTAATTCCAGTGTTCCCCGACCCCCCCCACTGGAAATGGAGGGCAAATTGAGGCCTTCGGGTTGGGTTGGGGTGGTTTGGTGGGTGGTGAAGTGGCCAGTGGCCCATCCTGGGCCCAGGAAAGGTGTGTGTGCCTCCTTGGCCAAGTCTGTGTATGCGCCCTCCTGGCTTGGCCAGGGAGGTATCTACACCCCGCTCCTGGGCCCAGGATGGGCCTGGCCAGGAGCAGCGGATGTGTGCGCAGATCTCGTCGCCCTGCTCGAGGGAAGTGTCAGCGCTCGCCCTGCTCGAGGGAAGTGTCAGCGCCCGCCTCGGGCGCACCCCCCCATTGAGCAGGGACCGACCGCCCCGGCACTTCTACAGGCCTGCCACGACATGCCCTCCTGCTCGAATAGCAACAACCCTGCCCTGAACGCCGATCTATGTGAGACGAAGGCGGCCTCAGCCAGAAACGACACGCTCCAAGGACATGCCGCGCAGACCACAAGAGCTTCTTGCAGCAGTCTTGGCGGCGCGCACAAGGGGGTGGGGGGGGGGGGGGGGCTTCTTAGAAGCAGGCTGCTTCTTAGAAGGCGCCGGCCTTACATCTATAGAGCAGGCCCGCGCCTTCTGAGAAGCAGGGGTGCTTCTACGAAGCCTTCCCCCCTCCCCCCACCCCCCTCTGCGCGTGGCTGACATGCTTTGGCGGGCCCGTCGGCCAGCCGGGACGCTCCGCCACTCCTCCCCCCCAGGAGGAGGAGCAGGAGGAGGAGCAGGAGAGGAAGGAGGAAGAGGAGGACTACGAGCAGGAGGGGGAAGGGTGGAGGGGGAGAAGGGGGACGATGACGATGATGAGGAGGAGGAGGAGGATGGAGGAAGACAGCTCCTGCGCGGGCGCCCGGCCGCCGCGGTCCGCCGCCGCCGGCTCGGCCGGCCAGGGCGGCGGCGAGGGCCGGAGCAGCGGCACGAACCTCACGGCAGGGCGCTGCTCGCCGTCTGGAAGGGAGGAGGGCTGGAAGGGAGGAGGGCGGCCTCTCCCACGAGGAGGAGGAGGAGGAGGAGGAGGAGGAGGAGGAGGAGGAGGACCCGAAGCCCCGCACGCCCGAACATCTCCCAGGAGAGAGCAGAGGAAGGAGGAGGAGGAGGAGGAGGAGGAGGAGGAGGAGGGAGGAGGGAGGAGGAGGAGGAGGAGGAGGAGGAGGAGGAGGAGGAGGAGGAGGGAGGAGGAGGAGGAGGAGGACCCGTGCAAGCCCAAGGCTCATCAACTGTGCTGGAATGGTGAACCCTCCCTCCAAACTCCCTCTTCACAGGCCCCTAGAAAGAGTCACTCCCACGGGGGGAAGTGACCCGTTGGGAGACAACCGTTTGAAGATACTGCGGCGTGCCAAATATTCCGTTCTTGGGACTCCAACGCCACGAATCAACCTGACTGTTGCGACGTGACAACCCTGAACCGTGCCAGAACACCATTCCTTGGACTTCAGCACCCCGAATCAGCATAACTGTTGCGCCCTGGCAGTCCCGAGCCGCTCCAGAACATCATTTCTGGTACGTTAACAAATAAGAGCCCGTGAAACTCTTGCAAAAGTTTAAGACGAGTGTGCGCACCGCTACGGCGACAGCTACACTTTGAAAAGGAGCCGCCATCAATCTATAAAGCATCTGCATTTGTTTAAGACGAATGCGCGTGGCGCTAAAGCGAGAGCCACATGTTGGGAGCGGCTCATCGTCCGTCTGCGAAACTGCTGCCAAGATTAAGCGTCAGGAATGATGTATAAGGAAAAGGAATGGAGGAGGAGGAAGAGGAGGAGGAGGAGGAGGAGGGAAAGGAGGAGGACTGTAGGCTCTGGCCGGCGCTGCACCTCCCCCCCGGGGGCGGCCGCTGTTTGGTGACTCGTCGCTCTGCCCAGGTGCTAGATAACGGCTGTTCCAGGGGGGCCGGTCCGAAGCACTGGGGGGTAGCGCTGGCACATATTCGCAAACCTCCTGGACCGCGCGCCGCGGCGGAAGGAGGAGGAGGAGGAAGAGGAGGAGGAGAAGGAAGAGGAGGAGGAGGAGGAGGAACAGGAGGAGGATGAGGAGGAGGAGGACCAGTGTAAAGCCAAGAGGCAGCAACGATGTTGGAATACATCCTCCCCCAAGCTCCCTCTTCATAGGTCCCTACAACGGTAATTTTTTACTCCGGGAACTGCCCTGTTGGACGACAACTGTTTGAAGACCCTGAAGCATGCCAAATCATTTTTCTCGGGATTCCAACGCCACGGATCAACATGACTGTTGCGTCTTGACGATCCTCATTCGTACCAGAAAGTCATTCCTGGGAATTGAACACCGCGAATCAAGATAAACTTGTGCACCCCAAGCCTGAATCCTTCCAAAACACAGTTCCTGATCTCCTGCAATTTCTTAAAACGAATGTGCGCGGCGCTGGAGCGAGAGCCTTTTGAAAAGGAGCCGCCTCAATCCGAGAAACTCTTGCAAAATGTTAGAAAGAATGCACGCGGCGCTGAAGCGAGAACCACATTTCGAAAAGGAACCGCCCTCAGTGCGTCAAACTCTGGTGAATGTTTAAAACGAATGTGCGCGGCGCTCAGGCGAGAGCCACATTTTGAAAACGACTCGCCCTCAGTCTGTGAAACTCTAGCAACTGTTTAAAGCGAGTGTGCGCGGCGCTGAAGCGAGCCACACTTTGAAAACCACCCGCCCTCAATCCGTGAAACTCTTGCAACTTGTCACAACGAATGTGCGCGGCGCTATGGCGAGAACCACGTTTTGAAAACCACCCGCCCTCCATCTGCGAAACTGTTGCCAAATGTAAGTTTCAGGATCATAAATGGTGAGGATGTCTCAAGCGAAACGCCCGGCCCGCCCTAGAAACAGGCCTTGGGGTGCGACAGGGAGAAATTATCCATAAGGAGAAGGAATGGAAGAGGAGGAAGAGGAGGAGGAAGAGGAGGAGGAAGAGGAGGAGGAGGAGGAGGAGGGGGAGGAGGAGGAGGAAGAGGAGGAGGAGAAAGTGGCCTCACGAGCGGCGAACGAATCCACATCCAGGCCCTCGCGGTCTGAATTCCGGGGCGCAATCCCGCGGACACGCGGTCGCACGGATACGTTCCGCGCGGCGCATCCGCGAAAATACGCCCAGCATCCGCGGGGTCGCGGCCCAGGGGCCCAGCCCGCGAGGCCGCGGACGCGGACATGCACTCCGCCCACAGAGGGCGGCCAGCCCTCAGACTGCGGGCGTCGACGGGGGAGATCTCGCTGCGGGCCACTCTCGCCCCACGGCCCTCCCAGATCGGTCCAGCTCGAGGAGCGCGTGCTGCACAAGGAAACACGGTTGGGCGCTCCCGCCGAGTCCACCTCCTCCTCCTCGCTCCTCCTCCTCCTCCTCCTCCTCCTCCTCCTCCTCCTCCTCCCCCTCCTCCTCCTCCTGCTCCTCCTCCTTCTCCTTCTCCTTCTCCTCCCCCTCCTCCTCCCCGTCCTCCTCCTCCCCGTCCTCCTCCTCCTCCTCCTCCTCCTCCTCCTCCGACTGTCTCGCCAAGCGGGAAAGTCTTCCTTCACGCCGTGAAGCTACTTTTTCGACGCACGAGATCTCGCATGGACGGGCCTGCAGCCGATCATACCGCCCCGACCCCGATCGGCCGACGGATCGGCAAGATCGGAGGCCTGCCTCCTCGAGTCCTGTGGTCTGTGGATGACGAGGAGGACAACGTAACAGTAGGAGGGGGGGGAGAAGGAGAAGGAGGAAGAGGAAGAGGAAGAGGAGGAGGAGGAGGAGGAGGAGGAGGAGTGGAAGGGGGAGGGGGAGGGGGGGAGGGAGAGGGAGACGGAGGGGGTGGGGAGGTGGAGGGGGTGGAGAAGGAGAAGCAGAATGAGAAGGAGGAGGGGGAGAAGGACAAGCTAGGTGCGCTCGCGTCTTATCTGACGTCCTGCCCCTCCCTTCCTTCCCTCACCATGGCGTAGATCTCCTCTCTGTTAGCACAGCCGGATGTCGTAGCCATAGCATTACATGGCATATCATGGTGTTGAAGATCAACGCGTAGCATGGCATAGCATGGCGTGGAGACGCCCCAAAGTGGGGGGGGCTTCTGCGGCCCAAACAACCAACGAATCGACACCAAATGTGGAATCACTCCCGATGTTGTTTTCGGGGGGACGTTTTCTAGATTCTGGGGCCTGTTTGGAAAGACCGAAAACCATACCGTGGCATGGCACTGGAAATAATGATGCCAACGCTGCAGCGGGAGCACGATTCGGAACGAGCGGAAGAGGGAAGTGAAGCCAGCGCTGAAGCGGGAGCACGATTCGGAACGAGCGGAAGCCCGAAAATGAGGCCAGTGCTTCAGCGGGAACAACAATTTGAGAAACAAGCCCAAGCGAAAACCCAGTTCCCGGGAATCCTGGGTAACAAAAACAGTACGCTGAGGGGGGCTGGACATCTTCCGGACGTCATCTGGGGAGAGAGGAGAAGAATATTCAGATTGTGTAACTGTGGAGGAGGAGGAGGAGAAGGAGGGGGAGGAGGGGAGGATCAAGGGGAGGAGGAGATCGGAGGAGGAGGAGATCGGACGCCTGCCTCCTCGAGCCCCGAGATCTGTGGATGGGGGCCCTCTGAGGCACAGGCGCTGCCGCCTTGGTGCTGAGCGGCGTGCGCTCGATGCCGTCGGCGCCGCGGCGCCCAAGCGCCAGCATCTTGCCCCGTGCCAGGGGCGTGCGGGTGCTGGGCACAGCTGCGCCGCCCTCGTCTGCGCAGCCCTCTGCCGCCTTGGGCGGTAGTCGTCTTAGTAGTAGTAGTAGTAGTAGTAGTAGTAGTAGTAGTAGTAGTAGTAGTAGTAGTA